GAAGAAAATGGATGGATGGATGGATGGATGGATGGATGGATGGATGGATGGATGGATGGATGGACATAAAAACATTTCAAAATTGTTTAGTTCATGAAAAGTTTTTGTTGMTRAGAAACAAAGCAAAACATTATTTTCAAATCGTTTGTTATTTTCACTCGGGCCGCTGGGTGTCGCTGTTGAGCTTTTATTTTGTTAAATGCAAACCGCGCGCGCCGCGCACTGAATCGAAGCGCGCACGCGCAGGAAGGACCCAGCCTCCGCTCAGACAACAGCCGCGGCGCTGAGGGGAAAACAGAGGATTCCGGCGTGGACCGAGCCGGGACTCAGCCAGCGACACCGAAACCAGCGTTTTACCGGGACCGGAGCTTCCGGTGCTCAGCTCCCACCGGGCCGAACCTCCCTCCCCGCCGCCGCCGCCGACGGTGTGATTGTTCGGAGTGAAGAGGAGGGAGGATGAAGAAAAGCAACCAAAGCAGACGGGTCAGTCACTGCTCCATTCACGTTTTTATTGTTTCAGGTTGTTGCTTTTATTTTTTTATTTAATCAGCTTTAAAAACAATCTGATCCGGTTCATTCATCAATATTCATTTTGTCCCACTGAGACAGAAATAAAGCTCAGAATTTTATAGTTTTTATTGTTTCTGTTTAATCAAACTACTGCATTTTATTACACATTAATTAGTTTGTTTTTATGTGTTTGAATCTTAAAGATATCAGATTATCCCTTCATTCATGCTGTATTGATTCAACTTTTGTTGAAACAGACAAATCTGTTCAGATTTCATTACATCTCATCATTATTCAGTTTTGGACCAATTGAAGCTCATTTTCCACCAGGAGGRACAACCAATCAATAAATAAATCGTTTGATCTGTGAAAGAAAAATACTTTTTGATTGGAATGATGAGAAATTAGTGAGAAAAATATGTCAGAATGTTTAAAAGAAGCAAGTTTGTGGAATAATCATGTTGTTTTTGTTATTGTTTCTTGCAGCCAAACATGACTTTCTGAGTTTAATCAGAACAAAAAACACAAAATGATTCAAGCTTTCTGTGCTTTGATAAAACCAGATAAAACAAGGCCGTAATCTCTAAGTTTGACACAAACTTTTGTCCCTTTAGACAAAATCTGCTTGAGTCTTTTWAAATTTTTTTATTCCCAAACACTTCCCGCTGCTTCATATCTTTGAAAATGTATTGTTTTGCTGAAACTGAGCCCGGTTTTCTTGTGCTTCCTCCTCCTGTCAGAGTCGTGCTGTTATGTAATTAAAGTAGGTCAAACTGACAGAGAGCAGCCCGATCATGACAAACACCATCACCACGAAGATCTGCCCTCCTCCTCTTCATCAGTCCAGTTTGAGATGGAAGCTTTGATCTCTAACATCCTCTTCCTCTCCTTATTTCGTTCTCCAACCATTAAGGTTCATGTCATCGTTTTTAGCTGCCCTCCACTCATCTTGTCCTCTTTCTTTCAGGGCGTTCAGGACTCCGGCCCGCTCGGCGTCCAGCAGCCGGAGAAGGCGGGTTGGATCCGGAAGTTCTGCGGTCGAGGGATTTTCAGAGAGCTCTGGAGGAGCCGCTACGTGGTTCTGAAAGGAGAACATCTCTTCATCTCGGACAAGGAGGTGAGGACAGAAACGCGCTGGACAAACCAAACGCTGATTCCAGGGWTTTGGTCGAGACAGAGAGAGTTTTTTTTTTTATTTCTGGGTCAGACTGTGGCGAAGTTCACAGCTTCAGCAGCTGTTTGGTGTCAGGAACGTCTCTGGGGGTTAGTGTTAGCAGAAGACAGTTTGTGTCCTCGAGCTGCGAGAGAGATGAAGAGGAGAAACAGATTCGAGTGTCAGACTTGTGAAGTAAATCTCTTCTCTGCGAGCGTTTACATTTTTTTTAATGATCAGCGACTCGAATGCACAGGAGCTACCTGCTGCTCACACTCAGCTTCAAAACACTTTTTTTTTTCTTGTGGCGCTGCAAAGAAATGTTTTGGATCAGATGAAAAACCACGACACCTGAGGAGCCAAGTGTTGGCTTTCTGGAAGTTAAAGGAAGGAGATACAAATAAGCACAAGACAAAGGCTCACAATAACTACAGAAAGGTTTAAAACAATTTAAAGGAACGAAAATTTAAACTTCAAATAACCGCACTGGTTCGAAATGAGTTAAAAAAGGCCACAAAGAAAGCCAAAGCAACCGCAAAAACAGTCTCTAAATGTCTGCAGTGAGACTTTAAACAACCAGAGAATGCAAATAATCAAAAAGAAACCCTAAACAATGACAGAGACCAAAAATAACCACAGAGCTGTTTAAAACGAACAACAAAAAAATCGTTTTAAACAGCCACAGACTGTCTCAAAATGACCACAAAGAGACTCAAAGCAACTAGAAAAACACCTGTAACAACCAGAGACTCAAAACTGTGCAGCGTGGCTCAAAGCATTCACAAAATAACAACACAGAGGTTTAAAATAAACCAAAAAAAAATTAATATCAACTATAAATCAACTAAAAATGACCACAAAGTAACTCTAAACAACCGCAAAACCATCTACAACAGCCACAAAGTGCTTCTGAATAAACATAGACTGAACACAGAGATGCAAAATCCTTTACTAATAAGAAGATTTTAATAAAAAATAAACAACCATAAGCTCAGAAAAGCATAATGAGCTCATAGAGCTGACTGGATGCAAACTAAACCCAAAGATGCACAAATAAACAAAAAAATRCAAATAAACATGGAAAGAACACAGAAACACTTCACAGATAAAATTCAGTTAAACAACTCAAAGTAAAGGAAAATATATCAACCAGAGACACAAAAAAGTTAAAAAAAATCAGGTTAGTCTGATGTTAAAATACAAATAAAAGCTGAAAAATGCAAACTTTTCTAAACTTCCTGATGAGAGAGGTGGATTTAAAGGTACAGGGATGAAATGTTCAGAAATGATGAGAAAACAGCTGAGGGCAACTTTTTTTTTATTTTTCTTGAAACTTGTGAAGTGTTCCTGCAGGTGAAACCAGGAAGTCAGAGATCAGGCTGATGCTGCAGAGAGCAGGTGCACAGGAGGTCCGGTACCCGTTCGCAGCAGGGATTGTCGGGAGCCAAAGTGCTGAGTGTTCGCACAGATTCTGTTCTCCCTCCACGTTGTGTAACAGAGCGTTATGCAACGGCACGCAGAGGGGTTGCAGGACGCTGAGTCAGAGTTTTTCATAAACACTTTCTCTTTTCTTGCTTCGCCATCTGAAAGGTTCCAGCCCTGCAGAGTGCAGACAGGCAGACCTGAGGAGGAGGAGGGTTTCTGTAACGGCTCACAAGCTACATGAAAAAAAAATCTAACTCAGAGCTACATAAATACACCACAAGTTGTGTTTTTTTGATTTATTTGCATCAAAACGAGAAACAGGCAAAACTGACCACAAAATGAGAAAAAAGAAGTGGCAGAATGGTAGCTGAGAGCTACAATTAGCATCAAAAAAGGCAAAAATAAAGCCAGGTTTTTGAGGCAGATTTTAAAGAAAACATTTTTGAAGGAGCTTGAAGCGACATCAATGCATTTCTATTATTTCTTAATTCTTGGAAAAGTTAGTTAAGTTTGTTAATTTCTTTAAAAACAACAACATGAATTCAACAAACAAAAAAAAATCAAATGAAATGAAAGGTAGCAGAAGAAGAAAAAATCTTATTATATCTGCCCCTTTTCCTCAAATAAATAAATTCAATCAAAAATAATCTTCAGTTTACAAAAAACAAACAAAAAAAGAAAAAATAATAAAGGTTTAATTCCTTGAAAAAACAATTCATACACTGACATATTTCTCCAGCAAATTAACCTTTATCGTTCTCTTAAATATACACATTGATCTGGCATTTTTAATGCCATCTTCCAGATTAACCCATAATCTTATACCCTGGACTCTGTTCCTTTAAACTAGGGGTGTAAGAAAATATCGATACACTGAAATATCGCGATATTTCATTTCCCGATACTGTATCGATATTCTAAAGCCCTATATCGATTTTTAATTAAGGTTTAAAATGTCAACTTTCCTGCCAGCCGTTCATTTTTATGTTGTAGTTCAGCCTCTGACCACTAGTTAGCAGCAGTGAGCCAGCCATTTGGCTCCTCTACCTCTTGATCGCCAGAGAGTAAGGGTAGCATTAGCATTGTAAGTAAACATTAGCTTTTCTTTTTTTTCTTTTTTTTTTCAGTAAGAGGTTTTTATTTAATAAAATTTTTGGACAAAAAAATTGCAATATATCGCCTTGCTTACAGTATCGCAATATATCGGGATATATCGTATCGTGACCCCTCTGTTATGATATGTATCGTATCGCCAAATTCTTGCCAATACACAGCCCTAATTTTAACAAAGTAAAATGTAAAAGTTAAAAGACATAGCACCCAGACGTTTACTGGTCGGTCTTCATTCCTTTGGGTCATGAACTCTGGGTAGAGACCAAAAGAAGGAGCTTGTGGAGACAAGTGGAGGTTGGRTGAGCGCTGCTGCTCCTCCACATCCAGAGGAGCCAGCTGCATCAGGCGTACGACTCCACAGGGAGGTGTTCCCGACTCAGGACACAGAGACGAGTCTCAGCTGGCCTGGGAACACCTTGAAGTCCTCCCGAAGGAGCCGCTTCCCACTTTAAAACTAGTAGAAAACATTGGATGGATGTTTTTGTGTGTTTTTTTTTTCCTGTGGAGGTCGACTGATTGAACCGAGCAGCGTCTCGTTATAATCCCATCTTTGTGTTTTCATTACTGCGACACTCACATCGTGGATTCTTTGATTTTAGGGTAAAGAGATGTTTGAAGGTCGGGGGTTAGTTTTGTTTGAGCCGCCATTAAATCTTGTCGTTTTCCTGTAATTATGACCTTTTTTTGTCTCAGTGATTCATTTCTTTCTGTCGCAGCAGAGGACATATATTAACACACCAACCAGAGGCAAGATTCATTGTGTGTGTGTGGAAGGGTGAATTTCTATTTTTAAAAGGTGCAGCTATCACTTTTAAAGTATCTCAGCTCTGATTAAAACTGATGATTTAAAGCAGGGGTTTGATCATTCTGGGGTCTGAGGCTCTCTTTGTTAGACGTAGTTGGTCTGAAGTGTCTTTATGGTGCTGTATTGATTGCACCGACCCTGGTGCTGATGGACATTGGGCTCTAATGGCGTCGACATGTGACTGCCGTTCTCTCTGCAGCCCTGCAGTCATTAAACACACTGCATCACTTTAAATACACACAGAGGACACACACGTGGTGTCTCTAATGTGACCACTACTCTAGTTGCTGACACATGAAATAAAAAGCTGATCTGCAGCACTTTTTTTTAATAAATTAGGTTGTTTCAAATTCTCCTACAGTGTGGGAGAGTTGTTGTTTTAATAATAATAA